TTATGAGAGAGACATTATTATTATCCATATTTGCAAGCAGAGGACACTGAGACACAGAGAAGCTAAGTAACTTGCCCAAGCACACACACAACTGTGAAATAACTTAGTTGGAATTTCAATCCTGGAAGTCTGGCTCCAGAATCTATGTTCTTAACCATTAAATATTCTAACTGACCGTGAGTAGGAATTGGTCTGCACTCACAGCCCTAGACCATGTCCTATGAGTTGTTGGTGTTACATGTTAAATGAATTAGTACATTGTGGTAAATTGATCAAGTGTGATGCTGGTCAGCCAACTGATAATATGTGTGCTTCTGTGAAGAGATGTCCATAGCATGTTGTTAAGTGAACACAGGAAATATACCAGTTTAGGTAGAGCCTGATCCTTTTTTTGAAAGAGGATCTGATGTTGGATAAGACGAGGCCTCCTAACCAAGGGAGACATATCCACCCCGAGAAGCAAGGGACAGATTTTAAGGAAAACTTTTAAAGCTTTTGAAAACAATAAAAAATTATGTATGTTGCATATATAAGAGCTACAAGATACATATACAATGGCATGGGGAGCACAGGGAAATACCCAGGAGAGTAAACCCCGTAAGATTGGTGGGGGAGGGGGATTAAATACCCCTAATTGAAAAAAAAAAAAAAGCTTTAGTTAAGAATAAGTACTCTTGCCAGGCACTGTGGCACCTGCTGGTAATCCCAGCCACTTGGGAGGCCAAGGCAGGAAGATTGCAAGTTCAAAGCCAGCCTCAGTAACTTAGCAAGACCCTGTTCAAAAAACCTGAAAAATAATTTAAATAGTGCTGGGAGCCATTAGCCAAGTAGGTATGACAATTTCCTTGCCAGCGTACCCCATGTTGCAGTGACATTGAATGTAGGTGACCTTGCTCAAGGACCAGGGCGGATTAGGGTGTTCCCGGTTTAACATAATCGGGTTTAGGGCGTTCCCAGTTTAGGTTCCAGGTTTAAGGTTTAAGATTATTCCTGCTGGGAATAGGGCGTATCCTGCTGCCTGAGTTCCCCTTGAGTTCTCACGGGATTCAGACAGTATATTTTTGGAGATAGAAGCCCAGTGGATGTGGATTTGGGCAGAGAACGTGGATTTCCCCAGAATGTGATTGTAGACGGCTGGTGTGAGTTCGGGAATAAAGAGTTGCTGTTTGAATCTACAAACTGTGTGGTGGCTCGTGATTTTGTGCCCAGCCAGACTGCGGCAAAATAGGACTGGGATGTGGCTCAGTGGTAAAGCACCCCTTGGTTCAATCCCTGGTACCAAAAGAAAAAAATAAGTGGTCTCTTTTTGCAAGATGGAAATTTTTAAGGAAAACTTTTAAAGCTTTTGAAAACAATAAATGAACCCATTCTTTTATTTCATGGACCCTGAATCATAGCTTCAGTATAATGAATATTTTTAAAGTTCTGAATTTGTATCACTGTGATACAAATTAAAGTAGTTACTTCTTATTTCATTTGATCCCAGACTTTTGCAATATGGTTTTGTTCTTCATTTACTTTTATGTTTGCCTGAATAAGGGTTAGGGCATGGGAGATGGGCTGCATTCTTACAATTGAGAACCGGATTTATTTATTTTAAAGACTACCACATGTTAATTCCATGCCATCACTGTGGACATAATATTATGTATCATGATGTTATGATGCCACATTATATTATAAAAGTCTGCATGAATCCACTCACTCTTGGGTATTTGGCATTAAATGTGTACACCTTTATTTTCAGGCATCTGACTTTTGTGTTCCATCCCAGGTCAGGGCAATATTCATTCACAGGCTGGTTGGTTCAAAGATGTATGTGTGAGGTTTTCTTTAAAAACAGTTTCTTCAAGGGTTGTTGAGCCTCAGTCACCTCCTTCAGGAAAGTACACTGAGGAGCCAGGTCAGCTGAGGTTGGAGGTGTGTGCAGATCTCTTATTATTTAAGCATTTCAAGAATGCAGTGTCCTGGGCTTCACAGTTGCATAAGAAAGTTGTTTGGCACTGAGGTGTTTGACTTGACTTTGTAGTGTGGCCTCTCAGGGTCAGGTTATTTTTTCTGAGAGTCCAGAGGTTCCTTTCATTGTGCCAGGTCACAGGAAGGGTCACGGGAAGCCAGGGAAGAACAGGGTGGAGGATAGGAGAGGACCAGTGGAGACCAGAAGTTTCTGGCACACATCCAGCTCACAGATGCTCAGCCCTGCCCTGAGAGCCATTGCGGGGGCTTCTGAGAAAGACTGAGGGTGCCCGCCCCACTCCTGGCCAAGGGAATTGCAAACTCTGGGGTTTGAGTCTAGGCGGAAGTATTTCTTAAAAGCTCTCCCAGTTATTTTCATGTGAGGCCCAGCTTACTGGGGCCTTTGGGATTTCCCTGGGACATAAGGAAGAAAGTGGAGGCTGGACATGCCCTGGAATCAGTGGACCTGAAGCATCGAACATAGCTGGGAGGCTGGGGAAGATCAGGGACGGCTTCCTTCCAGGTCCTATGCTTTACCTAACTTTTGAAATAGATAATGTACTCCTACTGAGTGAATACAAGTAGAAGTCGGTCTCAGTGAGTGTATTGGAGGAAGAGCTGATGGAACTGAGTTTAAATATTAAATAGCTATTAAATAGGAAGACAGAGGGTCTGAGAGGAAAAAGATATCACATGTTCAAACAAAACCCATAGCAGGTGTTCAGGTACGTTGGGGCAGAGCTCATTCTACTTATTTATCACATTAGAGTTTATGGTATCATTGCTCGTACCTCTTCTCATCAGAGCATCTGGGCAAGCCTGTGAGGTAGGCGCTATGCCCATTTGACAGATAAGGAAACTGAGGCCTGAAGAAGCGGAGGGCCAGGATATCTTAGCTCTTGTGTGGCCAAGTAGAGCCACAATCTGCCTGGCTCCAAATTCCATGGCTCGCTTTGCTTCCCTGTTAAAAAAAAAAAAAAATGAAGAGCTGTATTTCATGTTATTTTTTCCTGCTGACCAGGAAAGATGTGGACCAAGGAAAACCAACCAAACAACACACTTTCCTATTCTTCCATTTATAGATGGTTTGTGTTCAAACTGTCCATGAATCCCTAGTATTTTTCCATCACAGCAGTAGCTAGCATTTATAGAACACATGCCTGGTGCCACTTGCAGGGCTTTATGAAAAGGAATTCATTCAATTCTCCCAATAGCCAGGCATTTGTTGTAAATATTATGATTGACTCCCCATGTTTCAGGTGAGGAAACTGAGATCCAGAGAGCTTAGGCAACTCACCCCAAATCACCCAGCTTGCTGATAGTGAAGCCCAGGTTGACATCTAATCATTTTGCGGCAGGAGCGCACACATTTATCTGTTATATAGAGTTGGTTCCTGTAGTTACAGCTATGCTGGTCAGAGGTCCCAGGCTGACTCCAGCTTCTACTATATCTGCCTGTTTCCTTAATTATAACAATCATTTTCACTTATTGTGCTTTCACTGTACATTAGGCATTGTCCAAGGGCTTTGATGATGTCACTTAATCCATCGTGCTTGGGAGTGGGCCCCAGGGGCTCTTCTCCAGCTCATGGCTGTGCCAACCAGCACTCTGTCCCAGCAAGACCCTCAGGACCCCTTTCTAGAGCGCTGCAGGAGCCTACATCATCACACTTTTGGTGACTGGAGAAGTGCCTGTGTGCCCTCAGTCATTGCAGTTAGAACTCAGTCCCATCAGCTCTTCCTCCGGGTTCTTGGATGGCATCCCAGTCTCCTCCTGAGTTAGTCAAGCCTCCTCACATCCTCCAGACAGAGGGAGCTCCCTGCTCCAATTCAGTGGAACTGGCCTTGGTCGGTTTGGGCTGGGCTACATAGGAGGATGCAGGATTTATCTCATTCCAGTCGGGTCCTTGTTTGGCATGCCTTGGGGACCAAACATCTAGAGAACCAGGACATCAAATAAAGACCCACTTTTGGGTGCTGCTTGAGCCCTGTAGAGCCCAGGCTGTGGAGGACTCACGTTAGGGCCACGTGACCCTCTGCATCCAGTTCTTTTCCACTGGGAGCCTCCCCCACCCCCAACCTCTTCTCTCTCCAGCTGCAGCTCTGCTCCCAGCTCTGTTGTGGTTGGATCCTCCTCCGCCTCCAGGTCTCCATCCAGGACTCAGGTCTTCCCTGAGCCCAGGTCCTTCCCAGCCCTCAGGGATCCTCTTTATATCACCCTTATATTCTTTTCACAATCCTTAATCATGGGATTTATTTTTTTTCCTTTTTTATTTTCTGTCTTCATTCCCCACAAAACTGTAAGCGCCAAAAGAATGCAGAATCTTCTGTTGTCATTCACTGCTTGATCAGGTTCCTAGCTCCTATACCCTGTCCCATATTAGGTGCTCAGTAAATATATGTTGAGTCAAAGAATAGAAAATCCCTCTGCCATTGAAGCTGATGGCATCGACACCACTACCAGTTCCTGATGGTCAACATCCAGGTTCTGCCCATGGCCCTTTCTAATTCATGTCTCTTACGTCCTAAATAAACCCATTCCTTGCTTGGGGTTTGTTATTGCTCTTTCCATTGGTTGAGTGACTCCTGGCCTGTCCACAGCTCCTCAGTTTCTCCCATGTTGAGATGAAGTTGCTCTAATCCCTGGCAGTTTGGGCTTTCAGTTATGGGGGAGACCATCCTCGAGATTGAATTCTTTGCTGTGCCTCTGTTGGGAATATGCAGGTCCAATGGAATGCCCGCCTAGCCCCAACTCAAACAGCTGCAAAAATAAATCCAGATTCCAGGCACAGTGCTAAGTGTTTAGCAGCAAGACCTCCACATTCAGGGTGGTTTCTATCTCTTTGCAAGAGAAGAGGATACCATCATACGTGACAAGTACTAATGCAAAACAAGAGATGACCAGTTCCTTGTTCATGGCTGAAATGTGTTCATTGGGGTCTGGAAAGATTTAATGGGATGTAGTCAAGACGTGGAAGACACACAGGCTTTCTGCAGCCTTGGTGAGTGTTCTGTGTGGTCACCAGCTTCTCCGTTCCTTCTAGGTACAACCAGCGACTGCTCCAGTAGTTCTGTGGCTGCAGGGCGGGCCGGGAGGCTCATCCATGTTTGGACTCTTTGTGGAACATGGACCTTATGTCATCACAAGTAATATGACTGGTAAGTGTGGCTTGAACTGTGTCTCCCATGGAGAATCCTTCATCAGGGCCTTATATCTAATCCAGAACTAACTTAGGGTAGACACTGAGTCACTTGGAATAGTTTTAACAGCTCCAGATTATAAAAACACAGCTCTCTGGCAATGCCTGTCCAAGGAGGAGCCACTGGGGTGAGTGTCCTGACTGGCCTACTTTCTCCCTTGAAATTTGGGTGAAAGGTTCTAAGCTCTTTTCTCAGAGCTCTGCTGGCTGACTCAAGCATTCTCGGCTTGCAGAAACAGTTGGTATTTATTATCGTTTGGGAGAGCTCTTTTGCATGGGCCTAATGGGGGGATTATTCACACAAACTGAACACCTTATGGTTCCAGTCACTTAAACGACCTGTTACCTTGGAAGCAGGATGCTGTGGTGGAGGAAGGATGGAGAACAAGCAACATCTGTCACCCAGGCTCATCTCCAGGTCATTATCTTATTTTGGAGAGATGGTTTACTTTCCCTGGGTCAGAATTCAGAGTATGAACCCACTTGTGACTCATAAAAAGCTTCTGTGCTTGTTGAAATTGTCGTTCTCCCTGGTCTTGGGTGGGCAGAAGAGAATTCAAGAGGATTGGACTGTTAAGGATGATTTATAGGACTGGACAGATGGGAATTATCACATGGGTGGTCCCTGGGTATTTCCTCATGGCCCAGTTGTACTGGGTTCTGTATTCAAGCTTCGTCTTAGATGCAGAATCCTTCTAGGTAGAAAAAGAAAAGAGAGGAGAGGAGGTCAGGGCACTGGGGACAGGTCCCCACTGTGAGAGTGTGATACAGTGTCAGAGGCACACCCAGTGTTCCTGGGGGAGGGGGGTGCTGGACTCCTGGCCACAGCAGGGCCTTACATGGTATATTCTGTTAGCAACTCAGACTCAGACCCCTCCTCTGTTTTAACAGTCCTGCCCAGAAACTTCCCTTGGACTACCACCTTGTCCATGCTTTATATGGATAATCCGGTGAGTACAATGCCACTTGTGAATGAAATGTCTGTGTCTATGAAGTGTCTCTGTGCTGGCCTCTCTTGTCTTTTTTACTTTTTATTAAATTTAGTCATGTGCATAATAGTGCTTCAGTCAACAATGGGCCACATATGTGACAGTGGTCCCCTCAGATTTTAACGGAGCTGAAAAATTACTACCACTATAGTATTTTTACCTTTTTCATGTTTAGGTATTTTTAGACACACAGATTCTTACCATTATGTTATAATTGCCCATCACATTCAGTACAGTAACATGTTATATAGGTTTGTAGTTTAGGAGCAAGGGCTGTGGTATAAATATATACTATATACACTTGTGTTTTTATACATACATATGTACGTGTGTATAGTGCACACACATACACACAACCTTTAGCCCATGTGTGTAGTAAGCTACAACTTCTAGATTTGTGTAAGTATACTCTGGGGTGTTCCCACAACAATGAATTCACCTAAGGATACATTATTTCTCAGGATGTACCCCCATCATTAAGCAATGCATGACTGTCATTTTAAACATTAGAGATATTTTTTCTTTTTAAAGTAGAATTTAGGGCTGGGGTTGTGTGGTTCAGTGTTTGAGTGCTTGCCTAGCACGTGTGAGGCACTGGGTTTGATTCTCAGCACCAGATAAACAAATAAATAAAATAAAAGATATTGTGTCCATCTGTAACTAAGATAAATAAATAAATAAAATAGAATTTAATCTATAAAAATGAAATTTATTTTGAGATTTATAGCATGTTTTGTCATAATCAGAGTTGGGGAATTTTTCTTGCTCTCTTTTCTAGTTTTGAATCCCAGGAAACATCTTGTTCACTGGTTTTTACTGTTGAGGATCAGGGGTTAGTGTCTTTTTTTGGATGGTATAGGATGCTCCTGTATAGGTTATTGTTTAGTATCAGAATTCCTAATCTGTCCTATAGAGTTCTAGATAAATAAAGCCCAAACTAGTCTCCTTCCCTTATCAGGAGAAGCAGTATGCCTCATTTGGGGACAAAAATGGGTATTCTTCTTTAGAAGTTTTCTGAAATTGGTTTCAATAAACTATAAAATAGGACAGTGGCTCAGGGTCTGGTTCTGGTTCAGAGTGTCTTTACCCCCTTACTAAAATCTCAAAACATTTCTCTCTTTTCAGAGGGTCCAAGGAGAAAACAATTAGGAAGAAAAATAAAAGTCAACACACTTGTCCTTGATCCTTTGTCAGCCATCCTTTTCCTTAGTCTATAATTACATATTTAAACAGGAGGTGATTTAAATGTGTTATCTTGGGTGTTTGGGGGCAGCGGGATAAATAAAAACATCTTTGCAGCTAGTGGGGAGTGTGTTCCTACACAAATTATTGACACAAATTCACTTGTAGCTTCTTCTTTTGATTGATAGCTCAGTTGTCTATGAAATCTTAGGCAGAGACAATATTGGTTTAGATTTAGTCTTAATTATTTTAAAACTCACCTACTGAAAATGAGATGGAGTGATGGCCGTATTTATCACAAATTAAGAAAAGAAGAAGAAAACACATCCAGTTCTCTTCTTTCTCCAGCCAGAGAGCTCCTTCTCGGCAGGACAGAGCTGCACACCCTTCAGGGAAAGGAGACTGCTTTGGATCTTCTGATACTGTGGCTGGACAAAGAAAGATGAAGGGCAGGTCCCCTCTGAGGAATTGGGACAGCCCATCCCCCAAGGGTGGACCCCAGGGCAAGGCTCCTGCTGCTGTTGTGTTTGGGGTGGGAGATGAGTGAAACCAGTGTGCCCTTGTGAGAACAGCCAACATACTTAGGTGATGGCAAAAACCTGAAGTCAGAGGCTTGGCCTGTGGAGTAAGTAAGGTTGCCCCCAGCCCAGGTTCCACCTGAAGATCCGAAGGGAGTGTGTGTCTGCCTGCTCACCTGCTGATCTGTTCCCCCTTCAGGTGGGCACTGGCTTCAGTTTTACCAATAATTCCCAGGGATATGCTGTCAATGAGGATGATGTGGCCCACAATTTGTACAGGTAAGATGTGTAGGCTTTCTCTGGACCTCTTCAGACCAAGCATTTTTCTATCTCAACAGGAAAACCCCTTCCAGTGCTGGAATTATTATTGATGGGTCCTTATTGTCCAATTTCTGAAAGATTGGGAGAATTTCTACCCAGGGCCGCACACACTCACACACACACACACACACATGTGCACACTTGTAGTCTTTTCTTTTTTTTTCTGTTCTTACCTCATCATTGATAATTGCATAATTGGCCAGCAGAGAACATAAAGAGCTCAGAAATGATGCACTTGCCTGGCATGTATGAGGCACTGTGTTTGATTCTCAGCGCTGCATAAAAGTAAATGAATAAAATAAATACCAATCTTAAAAAAAAAAAAATCCTTTAAGAGTCAGAATTTTTCAACCAAAGATTTTTTTAAACCTTTCAACCAATGCCTTAAAGTTTTTTTTCCCAAAAATTATATTTTAACTTTGCATTTACTAGGAAATAGCATCTTCTTCGAGAATTGTTTTTTTTTTTTTTTTTTTTTGTGGGGGTGGGTCTTATTTCCCAGGATCTCTCCTTTATACACATTTGTTTTTACTCTCTTGCTTCTCCCTCATGATTTTTTCAGGCTGAACAGCTTATTAGCTCGTTCTTCCTTTTCCCCTTCCTTTTACAAAATGTTTATTTTGCTTTAAAAAGAGGAGAGGGGAAATATAAAGTTGTTAGCTTGATTAAACAGTGTACATAGAGTTTCTTCCTTTTTCTTACTCACATCTATTATAGCTATTTTTAGCACATTAAAAAAAATTGTAAGCGACCTTTCTTATTTGGTCAGATTTTTCCAGTCTATAAATTGTTCCTTGAGATCAAGTTCTGAGTCCTTTCAGGTCACTAGGGGAGCACTTGCTGCATCATGGTAATCTATTAAAAGAGCCCTAGTGGCCTGGGGAGTTCACTAGGTGCTTCCCCACCCCACCTCCACCATCCAGCTGCTAATTACTTGGTGAGCAAAATCCACCAGTTCCCAAAGAGAAAGTGTCTCTAATAGAAGTCAGAGTTTTCTGATCTCTGATAAAACCTTTCCATTTTACTCTTCTTTCTCCCCAAGGCAGATGGCTAGTGGAGGGAAGAAAGAAACTTCCTGGCCTTTTCCCCAAAGGCAATTTTCTTTTCCTCTGCTGACCCTGAAAAGAATACATCTTCTTCACTTTCCTTTTCCACATCTTATGATTTTAACCCTTCCTCGTTTCCATGGGAGTTCTTAGGTCCCCACACCTCTGCTCCCAGGTATAGTAGATCCTGGGAACATAGTGACTGGTCCTTGCAAATGGCCCCCTTCCCTCACCCCAGTTCGAAAACTCTCTCCTCCCTCCACAGACACTCTCTCCTCCTGCCCTCAGAAGTCTCCTCCAGCGCCCTGCTCTGGAGCTTTCATTCTTCTGATAGGAACCTACTCTTCACCCCCCACCCCACTCCAACCCCTTCTGGCTTAAATCCAAACAAGCTCAATTGTTTAACTAGCAAACACCCTGAGGGCTGAGGTTCTGTATTAAAGAAATGTGTCAGTCCCTTGGAAGACACAGCATTGCAAAATCCCCCTCCCTCCCCTTCCCAGAAGAAGCTCCCAGCTTCCAGTACCCTCCGTGTGGATCTTTACTGCTGACATGTGGTACATCTCCACTTGCATGACATGTAAAGAGAACCTATTTCAAAGCATCTATTGTTTATAGCTGTTTTAGTTCGTTTTTGCTTCAGGCTCTTAGAACTGGAAAATAGCTAATCAAGAGTAGTGCAGAAAACTGATTTCAGCTGTTTCCTTTATAGTTTACACTATTCGTTTCCTTTTGTGCCTACATTCTTCTGTCCAGCTCTCCAGATGGGTACTGGGAATAAGAAGGTCGCTTTGAAACCTGTAAATGGGCTACTGAGGGTTTAGAGTAGACCTTTCTTCCTCTCCCTTTGAAGACTATCTTTCCTTCTTCTGAAAGTCCCTTTCCTTTTTCCTATTAACAGTGTGTGCCTGGAAGGAGTAGCCTCCCAAAGAGGTATTTACTATTCACTTTGATGTTGCGCATCTTTTGTGTGTGTTTGCAAATAAAACTTTTTCAGTAACAAAGTGTTAGGATTCTCTCTCTCTCTCTCTCTCTCTCTCTCTCTCTCTCTGTTTTCACTATTTGGAATGTGCTAGAGAGCCTTAGTGCTTCTCTGACTTAGAAAAAAATAAAATCATCAAAACGTAATACATTTGCTCACTTGCACTTGGATATAGTGGCCAGTGTTGTGCTGCTCTCCATCCGGGAACACACACTGTCTGCAGCACACACTGTCTGCAGGACACTGTTCTGGGTGCAGGCGATGCAGCAGCAGCCCTTGCCCTCCTGTTGTGCAGTCTAGTAGGGTGCCTGAAGTCACCTTGGCAGCCAAGTGGATGTGCTGCTGTGTTCTGCCCACCATGTTGCTTTCTGATGGGAAATGCTCTGATTGGCCACACGAAAATTCCCAGCAATGCCGCCATGAAGCAGGTTTCATATATGAAAGAAGACACTGTGATCCATGCAGGAGGGAGAGGATCCCAGCAAGGTCACCCTGGGTGTAAAATAAATGAGAAGAGGCTGCTCTTGTGTTCTCCAGCACCACTACACAGCCACAATTCTCCTTGCTGAGTTGATTTCTGTCCACTGTCAGTGGCTGTCACAACTCCTGCTTGGCTTTAGTGAGGATGATGTTCCCACTTAGATGATCAGAACCTCAATCTTTCTGAATATCATTTGTATGTATTATGCTGTGGCTCCACCAGAACTGACCAGATTCCTGCGCTCTCTTTAGGTCTATAGTGCTTGATCGTTTCACTTTCTCTACTCTGCATACACCAACTTCCCTTTTCAAAAAACTTATCAAAGGAGTAATTTTCTCCTGGTCATCTTTCCTTGCAATCTCTGTTTCTCTTTATTGTCCTTTAATATATCTTTCTGCCAGCAGATAGCCTTTAGCTAAGATCCTATTTATTAGACAAGTAAGGTTGCAAAATGGAATCCCATAGCAGATGCATGTTTTCTGTGCCACATAATTCCACCTGAATAAATGCATGGAGCACATGTGTGCATGTACACACACGGGTGTGTTATGTATATTTTAGCATTTCTGTCTCTCAAATCTGTATGTTTATACAGACATTTTCTAGACTCTATTTTTAAGCAGACCCTCACCATGTAATAAGAATATCCCTGAGTAAAAATACAGTTAAATAAGCAATTGCATATAGCTTTTTACTAAATCTACCTTTTCCATTCTTCACTCCCACTTAAGAGTGAAGGGCTCACTTTATCAAGGGCTCACTTAAAAAAAAAGCAGTTAATTAAAAAACTTCTAATGGCGAAATTAAAACTCTGAGAGATTAGCTCCTTCACTTGAGATTTCCAGATGAGGCCTAGAATGCCCAGTTAAATTTGAATTTCAGGTAAGTGGTGAATAATTTTTCATGTAAGTATAATCCAGGCAATATTTGAACACAATTATACTGAAACATTGTTTTTTTATTTATCTGAACTTCAAATTGAATTGGACATATTATATTTTTTACTTGCTAAATCTGGCAATCCTAACAACTCTCTAGCCAGCACCACAAGGAAGCAAGCTCTCAACTCAAGCAAAAGGCTTATTTGAGATTTACTCTGTTCCATTGTCTGTTGCCATTCCAAGAATCAGGAAGAGAGCAAGGAAAGCAGTTTTTAGTCTGAAGGTTGGAGAGGGAAGGGTGGAGGATGAACTCCTATTTTTATCCCTGCTCTAAAGCCAGTTTATTGTCAGTACTAACATGGAGGCCATAAAATTGCAGCTTCCCAGATTGAGTTGCTACAGAGGCCACTATAAATTATAAATAGAGAAATAACACCAAAACTCTGCACTAGTGGCTCATGCTGAATTTTTATGGAGCCTTTGAAAATTAAGTATAGCCAAGATCATAGTGGTTGTAATGACCCAATTTTGCCTCGGTAACCCTCGAACTCTCTCCCTTTCCTCCCTCCCTAGAGTCTCCTTGCCTTTCATCTTCCCTGTATGGCTCATGGCTTTCAGTCTCTCAGGAAGCTGGGACAGAAGCTGTCCCCAGCATCTCAGGCATTGCAGTTTGGGTCAGAACATTCATAAAATATCTGAGTGTCACGAGTTTTCCCCTCCTTTTGGGGAAGATTTTAGTCAAGTAGGAAATCATTCAAACATCTCCCCTTTTCTTGCTTCTTTTGAAATAATTCCTTGAGTCGACTTAACTCTGTTTCATGTTGTTCATTTCTGTGGCTGCTGGCACTCTTTAGGAAATATGATTTTTCTTTTTTTTGAGCTCAGAGGCCACTGTTCATTTATTTCGATACTTGTGGTCATTTGCTGGTTTCCCTTTAAATTATGGTCCTTTTACAGCTTTTCTGATTTTTTGGTTATTAAAACTAGAAAATTCTGGGAGCTCTATTAGAAATATTTAGGGCCTCTCACAGTGGGGGCTTGTAAGGAACTAAGATTCCCATACCTCTCCACAAACCTGAGTTAATGGAATCCTAAGGTTTGCATAAGAATGTTAAGTAATAGGTGAAAGCCTAATATCCTTGGATCAAGGTCCCCTCAAGCCAGGTGATCCAAAGTGGTAACCCAGAGATTTGGAAACGTGCCCAAAGTTTTGATGTCCACTGTCCAAACTTCTTAGTATTGCAATGTAAGCCCATACGTATTTATTTTCTAACCATCCACATAGAATGCAGTGTTATTATGTCCATGAGTCTTTGAAAAGCAGACTGGTGCCTGATTTCAAATGTGAAACCTATTGCCAAAGAGTTAGTTTTGGTGGCATCACCTGAAATGATTCTGATTCCATTTTCAATTGTGTATTTGTTGTTCCTCTTTTTACAGTGCACTAGTTCAGTTTTTCCAGTTGTTTCCTGAGTATGAAAATAATGACTTTTATGCCACTGGGGAGGTGAGTCAAAGTCATGTTTTCTTGTGTGCTTTAAACATCATCAAGATTGAAATTTACTATGACTGTTTTGGTAGATGGTATATTCATCTAAAAAATGCATATATGTATAAATACGTCCATATGTGTGTGTGTGTACATTTAAAGATTGAGTAAGCCCATACTCAAAATTTTCCAACTATCTTCCAAAGATCCTCCATAACATATTTTGAAATCCAGGGCTTAATAAAGATTCATGTGTTAGGTTTAGTGTTGGTTTGTTATTTCTTAGTCATCTGCCCTTTTGGTTGTTGTCATTAAGGGAGTGGGGTGTACCGGGGATTGAACTCAGGGGTACTCAACCTCTCAGCCACATCCCCAGCCCTATTTTTCACTTTATTTAGAGACAGGGTCTCAATGAGTTGCTTAGCGCCTCACTGTTGCTGAACTCACGATCCTTCTGTCTCAGCCTCCCAAGCTTCTAGGATTATGTTATCGTGCCTGGCTATTAAGGGTGATTTTGAAGAATTCAGACCAAGTGCCTTGCAGAGTACTCCATATTCTGAACTTGTTGGATTCTGCCCTTTGTGCTTAGAACCAGCAAGAACAGTGCAGAGATGATGTGGTATTTTCTGTGGTATGCCATCAGGAGGCAGAGGATGTCAATTTGTCCCCTTATGGAAATACTAAACTTGATCACTTGGCCAAGGTGGTCTCTGCTGGATCTCACCATTGTAAACACACTTATTTCTGTTTGTAATTAATAAATAATCCAAGACCATGTGAACATCTGTTCTCCTGAATCTGTCTCCCAATACTTTTAACATCCATTGATGATCTCTATCTTAATCTGTTATTTCACCCAGGGGTTATAAAATGGTGATTTTATTCATGAATATAATGACTTTTCAAAACTAACTCTTTGGCAATAGATTTCATATTTGAAATCAGGAACCATTTTGCTTTTCTGGTATCCTTCTGTAGCAATCTTTACCCTAACCTCTTTCTATTATATACTTAAAGGTATCATTATTTTTATTTGATCTGTCAAAAATTTTTGTGATCATTGTAGGTTTTGATGCTTAAATTGTTTTAATTTTGTTCACTGAGAGCCCCAACAAGATGGCTCCAGTGTTCTTTTGTCTTTGAACACTTCCTTGGTTTTTGGCTCAAATAAGTGTTCCAGAAGCATCTCCTACTTTCCTTACTTTCTCCCTGTGTTATAGTTTGAATATGGCCTGTCCTCTAAAGGCTCATGTATTGAAGGCTTGGTCCCTGGCCCATGGAACCTTTAGGAGGTGGGGCCTAACGGAAGGAAGTTAGATGACTGGGGGATGCCTTTGAGGGAGACATTGGGGCCTAACCCCTCCTCTTCTCTTTTTGCTTTCTGGCCATGATGTGGTGAGTAGGCATCCTCCACCGTGCACTCCCAGCATGATATACTGTGCTACCACAGGGCCAAGTGACCAAGGACTTAAACCTCTGAAACTGTGAGCCAAATAAAAACTTCCTCTTCATAAGTTACTTATGTCAGGTATTGTTGTCACAATGACAGAGAGCTAATACAGTATTTTTCCACATGACAGAAAGTTGACTAACACTCCTGGAATCAGTCATTTACTCAAACCTGGTTCCTTTTAGTGTGTGTGGCAGAGAGATATTATTAAAGCCAAGTCCTGAGCACTTATTGTGCTCATTGCTACTGGCTCATCGCCACTGGGGTATCTTGTCTATGGGCAGAGCTAGAAAAGTAAAAAGTAAAATTCACACCAAGACCCATAATTCTAATTTCCCACCACAGAGTTCTCTTCTCCTTTTCCCCATTACTTATTTGTATATGCCTTCTCCCACACCACGGACCATGGTTCCCAATAGCATTGCGTGTTTGCTTCATTTTTTGCAGTCCTACAATACACCCAACATAGCTTAAGAATTCCTATATCAGTATGGCCAACAAGAAACCTGTAAGTCTCTTTCATCAGGACTTTGCCTCTCATTCTCTCCTGATCTTTTCACTTGGCTTTGCACTTCCCTGATTTCATTCTCAGGTAATTTCTTTTCACTTGAAGTCCCCGTCTTTTCTCTTCACGTAGCCTGCAAGCTCAACTTTTGTTTCCTACTAATTCCATCCATATTCCTGAATTACATGTGATGCATTTGGGTCCCATGTCCATCTGAAAACCAGTAACTAGGTTGGAGGAATGGAATACGCAGATTGGCTAGTATGGAGCCCAAGGCTGATCCCAAATGCCTGAGAGGGGAAGGATCATGCTGGGGTCCTCACCTTCTGAAGCTTACAGCTTGAGTCAGGGGATGACTGAGCTCCAGAGGATGCTGAGCAAGGATGCTGAGCAAGAGCATCTGCAAATGTGCACACTAAGGGAGTAAAAGAGAGAAATATAATGTCCATTTTCCAAGGGAATGGTAAGTTAGAATTAGCTACATTTTCTTTTAAAGCCTGCTTTCCTCTCTTTCTAAGTCATTTGGAAAGAATATATGGACTGCTTCACACCGTGCTTCAGGGTTTCTATAGCTAGTTCTCCAGTTGAGATTACTTAGTCCTCTACCAATAATTCCCTCTCATTCTTGCTTTTTAACCAGTCTCAGAGGCAGGTTGGGGATGGGGCAGGCTGTGACACTCCTGTCATCTGGCAGCAGCCCTGGAAAATGCCCTCTCTCCCTCTGCAACAGAAGAGCGATATGTTTAATGATGTTTAATGTGTAATTCCTTGTCTTGCAAGTAATATGGCAGTGTTTTTAACCATGATGTTGAATGCTCAGCAAAGCTGCCAAATCCCGGATGAAAAATTTGACTTGTCTATTTTATTTCTGCCTGGTGGTTTTATGCATGTAATTTCCAAATGTGTATGGGAAAGGACAGTTTTCTTTTTACATTCTTTGCTGCCAGGATGAATACACTTGAGGGAACCTGTACCTTCTAGTCAATGAAGGAAGATGTAAGCGGGCAGGCTAGGCCTGAGGTAGAGATTCCAGGTTGCCAGGTAGCAATGAATGGCATGGGGTCTGTTCTGCCTGAGGGTTCATCTCTGTCCAGAAGGAAGAGCACCAGATGATAACACCATGATGGTCTATCATTATTATAATGCTCTGTTTCTCTAGTCCAGTTGGTTTCATCTGGTCTGTCATCTGTTTTAAGGCCATGAAACAGAATAAAGATGTGGAAGGAATTCTGGATCAATAATTAGGAGACTTGGGACCTCACCGGATGATTCTGGGAAAGCTTTTTAACTTCTCTGGGCTTCTGCTTTTAATCTTACAATCAGAGGAGTTGGTTTTTAAATTAGATCACTTCTAGGGATATTTTGCTTCATTGAAAGTGGAACTGTGGTTATCTACACTTAACTCTTCTAGCATCTATATATAATTGCAGTTTTAACATAGTGCCTACCCATCCTTCCTCTCACCACTCTCAGCTCCCCCTGCCAAAACAAATCATTACATATTTTTCAAGAAAAAAAAAAAAAAAAAAACCCTTTCTTTTCTGAGCTCTTAATTTTCCCACACTCTTAGAGGGACTGAACAAATAATGTTGATCAATTTGTAGAATCATCCTTGAAAGATGAATGCATAAATTCAGAAGTGGTCTTTTGCCTTCTGTGCACACGCCCCAGACCCCAAACCCTTCATCTTGTGTGCTGTGTGTGTGTGTGGGGGGGGGGGGCACAGTGAGTGTGTGAATGGGGGAAGTCATGCTCAGAGAGTCTGGAGCAGCTGTTCAGAGCCCTGACTTTGGTGGAAGGGAGTCTGGAAATAATAATAGTACCTACTTCATAGCACTGTTTTGAGCATTTAATTAGGTAATCCTCCTCAGATATTTAGCCTAGTGACCAGCTGTGGCAAACACCCAACATTGATGCCTATTATTACCATCCATGTTGAAAAGCTGGATTAATCTATTATGGCTCCAGAGCATATGGCCCAAAGCATGTAGACAGGGGCTGAGTGTTACGCTCTGCCTCTTATTGTTGGGACGTGGCAATGTCTTTTCTATGTTTTTATTTATTTATTTATTTATTTATTTTTTGGTGTGTGTGTGTGTGTGGCACTAGAATTTGAACCCAGGACATTGTACATTCTGAGCAGATGATCTACCACTGAGCTACATTCCTAGCTGAAATCATTTTTAGAAGAAATAACTTGCTTCATCTAAAAGATGAAGACGGAGCTTAGAAGTTGATATTAGGGTTGGGTTTATTTGTTTTTCATATGGATAGCAGCAGATGTGCCAGGATCCACCCCAGGCTCCTTGCCCCTGTAGTATACACCAGGCGTGGCACCCCAGAGGGAGCCTGCTGTGGGTGTGAGGGAGATGGAAGAAGCCTCTTTGTCCCCTTTCCTTCTCTTTATTCCTGCCCAGAACACCAACTGGAATTAATTTTCTCTAAAGAGAGACAAATGTGTCTGTAAATCACCCTCCTCAAGGCATGAAAAAAATGTACTTCAAAAAGAAACAAGCTCCATTTAATTCCCATAATTAACTTTCTTTAAGTGTTATCCTTCCCAAGCCAGTAACTGTTAGTGAGCCTGCCCTTGTTCTTGAAGCATAGGCACACTGTAGAGTCCTCTCCAGTCACTGGAAGCCCAGCTAGATGGTAAAGCAGAACAACCTCATGGAGGAGAAAGGTGGCAAGACGGAGGGATGGCCCATTATCCCTGAGCATGTGGCTTCCTTGAGCCACTCCCAGGGAAGAGGCTGTGCTCCTGAGTGGTTATGGATGGATGGATGGGAACCCATCCAAAATGGCAGGGCAGATGGGTCAACCTGGGCATTGCTTCTCCAGCATCAGAGAAGGGCAGAGTCTCTCTACAAGCAGTTTTTCAAGCATGTTTAATTTGAGGCCAATACAGGCAGAATTTTAAAGCTATTTATATAGTAGTTAGTGAACTTAATTGGATGCTTTATCTTCACCCACACGGGTGAAGGTCTGTGGGGAGCATGATGTTGGATGACCTTCATTGAAATCACAATGGTCTGTTGCTTTGAGGCAGCTGGCTCCTTGTAT